CTTGGCTGCACAGGCCAGGGGAGACGGCCCCTGGCGGGGTTCGAACCCCCTGCCCCGCCCTAAGTCAGGGGTTCCAAACTAGGGACTCCCGGAGCCCCTTCAGCTGTTTTGGCCTATGTGCGTTTTTCTAGGGAGAAAGCTCTGAACTACATCGGATCATCAAAGTGCTTTGGGAGCCAAACATTTTGAGATGGGAGATGAGGGCCAAACCAAGCAAGCTCGCTTTTTTTTTTTTCTTTCTCTTCTTGACCTAAAAAGTCCAGAAACCTCAGTTTCCTCTCCCCTTTTAACCCGAGGGCAGAGTGCGGAGGGGGTGGACGCAGAGGCAACCTAATTGGACTGCTGGGCTGCTAGCAAGGTGCTGGGCCTGCAGCCTTGCTGGGCATCAGTGCGCTCAGCAATAGGGTGGCGTGGTGCCGCCTTCTAGCCTTGCACCCTCAGGCGCACCTCTGTTCCCCTACCTGGAGGAAGGACTCGCTATCACGTTTCCTCCGAAACTGGCCGCTTTGGTGCCCCGCGCCTCCAGCTGGGCCCGACGACGGGAGCTGGAGGCTGCAAGCCCAGCCTGGTGCCTGGGTTGCAGTCTCGGGTGTGTAAGAAATCTGGAGAGGCGGCGTAAATTTCCCCGACGCGACTATTCCCGAGCCCGCCCCACGGCCCTAACTTATCTCTGAGCCTGTGGACAGATGCGAGGCTGCCGATCGCCCTGGCGTCCGCAGCCCAGCCCCTCCCGCCAGACCCCGGACGCCGGCCGGGTAATAAAGTTCCCGCTCTAGTCATTCATTTTCCTTAATCGGGACGGCCCTAATCTACCGCTTTTATTGCGCCCAGTTAAAAGTCGAGGGAATTCGCTGTCCCTCCGCGCTGGGATAATTACCCCTAAATGGCCGCGGCAGCCCCTGTGTTTCCTGGAGATTAGAACCCCGCAGTCATCAATGGCCGGCCCCGGAGAGCCGCCAATCACGGCCGCTCGCTCTCCGGGAGCCGCGGGCCTGGGCTCCGGGATAAGAGGCCATAAAACGGTGGCGCAGAAATCGGCGGAGCCCTGCCCGGGGTTTGCCTAGATCTGACGCCTCCCCAGGCCCCCAACTCATTTTCCTCTGTTTTCTAACAGCGAGAATAAAATCACGTTTCCTCCGAAACTGGTAAAAACAAACGCTCTCGCGCCCAGCCCCACGGATAGACGCCAGGAGCCGGCCTCTCTCCAGACCCCCTCCCTGAAGTGCGCCCACCCCCTCCACGACCATCGCCGGCCAGAGATAGCGAGTGTTATTGTTTCTACGATTGCTCTGTTTGAGGTCACGCTAAGGCCAGATCAGGGTTTTGTTGACGTTTCTGTTGGTTTTATTTCAATAAGTTCTATAGCAAAAGGACCCGGCTGCTCCTTTCCCCCGGCCGGTGGCCAGTAGAGGTGGCCAGTTTGCAACCCTCCCGGGAGAAGTTCGGAGCGGGAAAAGTGCACATCACATATGAAAATGGATGACTGATTCCGGATAATATTGTGTATAGCTATTTGTAACATCCACAGCACCGGGAGCCTGGCTTCTTGAGGCAAACCCCAGTCCAGCGCCCAGAAGGAGACAAAGGCCCGCCTTCACGCAGAGGTAACGTTTTGAAGATTGCAGCAGAGAAGGAAAATAAAGGCGCTTTAAAAAGCAAGTCATATTCCGTCTTTCTGGTGGAATACATAACTGCAACTTTTAAAGCTATAAAAGGAATATGTAACCAATGACCTCGACTCAAATGATCGTGGTAGGGAAGAGGGGAGACGGATAGGGGAAGGGACAGAGCAACAGACACAGTAACTGACTGAAGAGAAAGGTAAGAGGAGCGTGGAAGAGAGAAAAGGAAAGGGGTAGAGAAAAAAGGGAGGCGTGGGTGAGAGCGGCGATAAGGGAAGGGGAGGAGGGGGGAGGGCAGAAGAGAAGGAACGAGGACAAGGGAAGGGCCCCCCAGACACCCAGAAAAAAATAGAGACCCAAGGGGACCCCGAGAGGGAGAAGCAGCCCCGGGCTAGCGCGG